GATGATAATGATGGTGATGGTGATGATGATGGTAATAATGATGATGATGATGATGATGATGATGATGATGATGATGATGATGATGATGATGATGATGATGATGGTATCAATGATGATGATGATGATGATGATGATGATGATGATGATGATGATGATGATGACGACGACAGCGACGATGATGGGGACGATAAGGACATGCCGAGGGCAGATGCAATGAGGGGGAGGGATGAGGGTAAGGAGGAGTGAGTGTGGAACGCCAGGGGCTGCCTATTCAAAAACAAGGACCCAGCACCACATTATGGTCAGAAAGCCATATGGGCTTACCAGGATCTGGGGGACAGGCTCGCGATCGGAGCCTCCCGGTAATTTGTTTGATGCCTCGTGAGCGATTCTGCAAAATCTTGGATCCTTTGGAGGCCTCCTGGGCTGTCTTTGCGGTTCACAATTACCGATTTGGACGTCGGGTTGGCATCCTGGCGGCCGTCTAGAGCCGTCTTGGCAGGCTGTTGGGGCGTCTGGGGTTTTGTGCGTCCAGGGCCTTTTCCAGAGGCGCTCTTAAGGTCGCCCTGTGGCCCTTTTGGGCGTTCTTCTGCTGTCACGGGTGGTTTTTCGGCCAATGTCAAAACCTCTTGCGACTTCCTTAAGTATTCCTGATTCCATCATTGGCCGAACAGACAAGGAAGCCAGGAGCACGTAAGACTACAATCCGCACACCCGTGCGGTGATTCGGATTGTCGGGGGCTTCTTTGGAGGCTCTGTGGGGCCGCTCTATTGGCCTCCCTTCCGTGTGCTGCCTGGCGTATATTGAACCGCCGTATGGCGGTTTCTCGGGCTGTCCCGGCAGCGCACCATGATCTTCATTTGGGGCCGTTGGTCGGCACCTTGGCGTCGTCTCGGATCCACCGGAGACAACCCTGAAAAAATGGGATCGTCGGGGGGGGAGGACTCTCACACAGCTGGCGAACCCCAACGGGGCCCGCGGAGTCCGCGACGCTGCCGACGTACTCCTTCCTGGAGGCAGGCGCGACCTGCCACGAGGTGGGCCTCGACGACGTGCCGAGCTCGGCGGAGTGCTTCGGCGGCGCGGCCGGCTCCGCGGGGCTCGGCGGCGTGGCCACGCTCTACATCGCGACCCCGACCGTTGGGTTCTTAACGAGCGAAGAACTGACGAGCGAACAACTCACACCCATACCCATAGGAGGGTCGAACGGAGGGAAACTTGCTATGGGTATGGGTGCGAGTTGTCGGACCCTGGGGGAAGCTCCCGTTCGAGCGGGGACACCCATCCGACAACACGCACCCATAGCCTCGTCCGTCCCCTTTATGGGTATGGGTGCGTGTTGTTCGATCGTCAAAGAACGGCGCAAAATAAACTTTTTCGCTGTCGGGGGCGCCTGTCCCTGGGCGGCTGGAAAGTTTATACCCTTGCGGTGGCACCGTAGGGGTCTAAACCAAGGGCTCCCACGAGGGCGCGAAGTTATTCGCGCTTCGCGCTTCGCGGTCCTCGTTCCTTCTCCCCCTCCTCCTCGTCCTCCTTTTCTCCCTTTGGGGGGGCGGCGCGAGGGCGCGAAGTTATTCGCGCTTCGCGCTTCGCGGAGCGCGAAGCGCGAAGTTGGGAGCCCTAGTAAACTCTCCAGCCGCCCTGGGGCAGGCGCCCCCGACGGCGAAAGAGTTTGTTTTACGCCGCTCTTCGCCCGTGGAGGTTCAGCTGCATCTACGACACGGCACTGGACATGGTCGTGTTTGCCCTGGCCGCTGGCTCCGGCACGCAGGCGGGGCCTTCTTGGCGATACATCTGCCCAGGCACCTTCACCACTACGGTCTCCTCGACGGTGTCGGCAACGGCGTCGGGCACGACCATCTCTGCCACGACGGCATCCGTCACGAGCGCGACGGAGGGGCCTGGCTACTCGCTCCTGCAGCCGGGCCAGACCTGCCACGAGCTGGGCTTGGATGACATCTCGAGCTCCTCGAATTGCTTCGGCTCCGCAGCGCCAGCGGTCGGTGTTACCAGCTCCTTTCAGACCTACCTCCCTGGCCAGGCGCTCAAGATCAGCTGCGTCTACGACGCCAACTCGGACACCCTCTTCTTCTCCGAGTCGACCGGCGCGGGGACCGAGGGCTCCAGCCAGTATCAGTTCGTCTGCCTCGGAACATACACCTCCACGGAGACGTCCACTGCAACGGCGACTGCATCTGCGACGACTGTGACCGCCACGACCGTGACAACCACGATGTCGAGCAGCGCCACGAGTTTGTTGACGACAACTTCGGCTACGACCACATCCCATCAGGACTACACGCTGCTGCCCGCTGGGCAGACTTGCTACGAAGCGGGCATGCAGGACGTGACGAGCCCCGCAGAGTGTTTCGGTCCTGCCAGGGCCTCCGCGGGTCTAAGCTCTGCTCAGACGCAGAGCTTTGAAGGCTTCGGCTTCACGTTCACCTGCGTGCACAGGAGCTCCAGCAACGCGGTGCAGTTCGCGGACTCAAGCTCTGCCGACGCCGAGCCCAGTTCGGGCTACCAGTACATCTGCATCGGCATCCTGACGACGAGCGACAGCAGCACCACCACCACATCGACGAGCGCCACCACCAGCACGTCGATGACCACCACCGAAACCAGCAGCAGAACGGCAGTGAGTGAGACCACGTCGAGCGAGACGTCCTCGAGCACGCTCACCAGCACCTCATTGACCAACAGCACGTCGACGAACGTTGTGGCCACGACCACCTCCCACGAGGACTATACGCTGCTATCCGCCGGACAGACTTGCTACGAAGCCGGCATGCAGGACGTAACGAACCCTTCAGAGTGTTTCGGATCTGCCATGGCCTCTGTTGGTCTCAGCCCTGCTCAGACGCAGAGCTTCGAAGGCTTCGGCTTCGCGTTCACCTGCGTGCACAGCAGCTCCAGCAACGCGGTGTACTTCGCGGACTCAAGCTCTGCAGACGCACAGCCCAACTCGGGCTACCAGTACATCTGCATCGGCATCCTGACGACGAGCGACAGCAGCACAACCACCATCTCGACGAGCGCCACCACCGGCACTTCGATGACCTCTATAGTCACAAGCAGCACGTCCTTACCCCCCACCAGTAGCACGACAGCATCATCGGCCAATGGGATTTCAAGTGCTTCGGAGACTAGCAGTATGACCAGAACTTCGGTGAGCAGTACGACCGAGATCACTACGACCAGCATCACCAGTACGACGATCATTGTAGAGACAACTGAAGCGGCTATTGCGACAGCGCCTGAGGAAAGTACCTCTGCAGTGGATACGATTGTAGACACGATCACGATCTCGAGCAGCGCGACGACCTCATTGACGGCGACAGCAACGATGCCAGGGCTGTCGGCAAATAGCCCCATTAATGACTCAACGACCCTCACCACGAGCGGCATGACGTACTCGCTTCTTGAGGGTGGCACGTCCTGCTACGAAGTAGGCCTCAGTGATGTATCGAGCTCGGCGGAGTGCTTCGGCAGCGCTTCGAGCTCCGCGGGACTCCACAGCGTGGCCACGATCTACATCGCGACCCCGTCCGTTGGGTTCAGCTGCATCTACGAAACGTCACTGAACATGGTCGTGTTTGCCCTGGCCGCTGGCTCCGATACGCAGACGGAGCCTTCTTGGCGATACATCTGCCCAGGCACCTTCACCACTACAGTCTCCTCGACGGTGTCGACAACGGCGTCAGGCACGACTATCTCTGCCACGACGGCATCCGTCACGAGCGCGACGGAGGGGCCTGGCTACTCGCTCCTGCAGCCGGGCCAGACCTGCCACGAGCTGGGCTTGGATGACATCTCGAGCTCCTCGGACTGCTTCGACTCCGCAGCGCCAGCAGTCGGTGTTACCAGCTCCGTTCAGACCTACCTTCCGGGCACGACGTTCAAGGTCAGTTGCGTATTCGATGCTGCTTCAAATTTGTTGGTCTTCTCCGAGTCGACCGGCGCGGGGACCGAGGGTTCCAGCCAGTATCAGTTCGTCTGCCTCGGAACATACACCTCCACGGAGACGTCCACTGCAACGGCGACTGCATCTGCGACGACTGTGACCGCCACGACCGTGACAACCACGATGTCGAGCAGCGCCACGAGTTTGTTGACGACAACTTCGGCTACGACCACATCCCATCAGGACTACACGCTGCTGCCCGCTGGGCAGACTTGCTACGAAGCGGGCATGCAGGACGTGACGAGCCCCGCAGAGTGTTTCGGTCCTGCCAGGGCCTCCGCGGGTCTAAGCTCTGCTCAGACGCAGAGCTTTGAAGGCTTCGGCTTCACGTTCACCTGCGTGCACAGGAGCTCCAGCAACGCGGTGCAGTTCGCGGACTCAAGCTCTGCCGACGCCGAGCCCAGTTCGGGCTACCAGTACATCTGCATCGGCATCCTGACGACGAGCGACAGCAGCACCACCACCACATCGACGAGCGCCACCACCAGCACGTCGATGACCACCACCGAAACCAGCAGCAGAACGGCAGTGAGTGAGACCACGTCGAGCGAGACGTCCTCGAGCACGCTCACCAGCACCTCATTGACCAACAGCACGTCGACGAACGTTGTGGCCACGACCACCTCCCACGAGGACTATACGCTGCTATCCGCCGGACAGACTTGCTACGAAGCCGGCATGCAGGACGTAACGAACCCTTCAGAGTGTTTCGGATCTGCCATGGCCTCTGTTGGTCTCAGCCCTGCTCAGACGCAGAGCTTCGAAGGCTTCGGCTTCGCGTTCACCTGCGTGCACAGGAGCTCCAGCAACGCGGTGTACTTCGCGGACTCAAGCTCTGCCGACGCCGAGCCCAGTTCGGGCTACCAGTACATCTGCATCGGCATCCTGACGACGAGCGACAGCAGCACAACCACCATCTCGACGAGCGCCACCACCGGCACGTCGATGACCTCTACCGCCACAAGCAGCAGAACGGCAGTGAGTGAGACCACGTCGAGCGAGACGTCCTCGAGTACGCTCACCAGCGCCTCACTGACCATCAGCACGACGACGAGCGCCTTGGATTCCAGCTTTTCGATACAGACTCACTCCCGGACTGGGACCAGCACGACTCGGACCAGCAGCATCAGTCGCAGCAGCAGCGAAACCAGCAGTACTATTGCGACCAGCGCCAGCACGCGCAGCAGCATCAGCGCAACAAGTAGCACCACAGTAACCAGCACGACTGAGACCAGCAGTGCCTCTCGCAGTAGTACCAGCGCAAGTAGCAGCACCACAGCGACCATCACGACGCACCCTAGCAGCCCCACGCGCAGCAGCACCAGCACAACAAGCATATCCACGGTTACCAACACGACTCGCACCAGCACTAGCATTTACAGCAGTCTCAGCGCAGCCAGCAGCACCAGCGACACTAGCACGACTGATTCAAGCAGCACCACGCGCAGCAGCATCAGCCCGACCAGCAGCACCACGCGTAGCACCACCAGCGCAACTAGCAGCGCGACTATGACCAGCAGGACTGGAACCAGCAGCGCCACTCGCAGCAGCACCAGCGCAACCAGCAGCACTGACACCAGCCCGACCAGGAACAGTAGCATCACGCGCAGCAGCACCAGCGCAACCAGCAGCACCAGTTCGCCCAGCCAGACTACATCAAGCAGCATCACTGTCAGCAGTACAAGCGCAACCAGCAGCGCGACTGCGACCAGCAAAACTGGGCCCAGCAGCACCGCTCGCAGCAGCACCAGCGCAACCAGCAGCACGACTGTGTCCAGCACGACGCGCACCAGCAGCACCACGCGTAGCATCAACAGTGCAACCAGCAGCACCACGCAGAGCAGCACCAGCGGAACCAGCAGCACCACAGACACCAGCATGACTTGGACGAGTAGCACCACGCGCAGCACAACAAGCGCAACTAGCAGCACTACCGTTTTCAGCACGACCCACACCAGCAGTACCATTCGCAGCAGCACCAGCGAAACCAGCAACACAAGTGTCAACAGCACAACTTGGACAAGCAGCATCACGCGCAGCAGTACCAGCGTAACGAGCATTTCCACCCTGACCACCCCGACGGGTACGAGCAGCACGACGCGCAGCAGCACCAGCTCGACCAGCAGCGCCACTCGCAGCAGTATCAGCGCAAGTAGCAGCACTACGCAAACCAGCATGATGTCTGCGACAACCAACTCCGAAAGCAGCACGACAACCCTCACGAGTACCACGAAGACTAGCACAACGACGTTGATGAGCCTCACAGTGACCAGCACGATATCAGTGACGACTACGACGGAGACGAGCACGACGTCAGACTCAAGCACGACAGAGTCAAGCACGACCAGTGTGCCGAGCACCACGGAGACGAGCACCACGTCGCTGACGAGCGTCACAGTGAGCAGCACGAGCTCAGCAACGACTACGACGGAGACGAGCACGAGGCCAGTGACAAGCACGAAAGAGTCAATCACGACCAGTGTCTCAACCACCACCGGCACAAGCACGGCGTCTGTCACAAGCACGACAGAGTCGAGAACAAGCAGTGTCCCAACTACCACCGGCACGATCACGATGTCGACGACAAGCACCACAGAGACTGGCACGTCAACGCTCACAAGCACCACGCGGACGAGTACAACGACGCTGACAAGCACTACAGAGACCAGCACGACGGTTACCAGCAGCAGCACAGGCAGCAGCGCCAGCGAAAGCAGCAGCACCAGTGGTACTACAACGACTGGCAGCAGCAGCACCACGCGCAGCAGCTCCAGCGCCACCAGCAGTACGACCGTGAGCAGCACGACTCGGTCGACCAGTAGCACTCGCAGCAGCACGAGCGTAACCAGCAGCACCACTGCGACCAGCACTAGTCGCACCAGTACCAGCACGTCAACGCTCACAAGCACCACGCAGACGAGTACAACGACGCTGACAAACACTACAGAGACCAGCACAAGTTCAGTGACAGCTTCGACAGAGACGACAGAGTCAATCACGATTACTCTGCCAAGCACCACGCGCACGAGCACGACTGGCAGCAGCAGCACAACGCGCAGCAGCACCAGCGCAACCAGCAGTACCATTGTGTCCAGCACTACGGGGACCAGCAGCACCACGCGCAGCAGCACGAGCGCAATCAGCAGCACCTCGCTGACCACCGCGACTCGCACCAGTAGCACCACACGGAGCAGCAACAGCGAAACCAGCAGCAATATTGTGTCCAGCAGCACAAGCGTAACCAGTAGCAACAGCGAAACCAGCAGCACGGGTGTAACCAGCAGCACCACTGCGACCAGCACTACTCGCACCAGTACCACCGTGAGCAGCACGACTGGGTCGACCAGTAGCACTCGCAACAGCACGAGCGTAACCAGCAGCACCACTGCGACCAGCACTAGTCGCACCAGTACCGCCACGCGCAGCACTACCAGCGAAAGTAGCAGCACAACGCGCAGCAGCACCAGCGCAACTAGCCGCACCACGCGGACCAGCACGGCGTCTGCGACAACCACCACCGAAACCAGCACGGCAACGCTCACGAGCACCACGGAGACGAGCACAACGACCTTGACGACCATCACAGTGACCAGCACGATGTCAGTGACGACTACGACGGAGACGAGCACGATGTCAGCCTCGAGCGCGACAGAGTCAAGCACGACCAGTATGTCGAGCACCACGGGCACGAGCACGGCGTCGGTCACAAGCAACACAGAGACCAGCACAATCACGCTTATGAGCACCACGGAGACGAGCGCAACGACGATGACGAGCATCACGGTAAGCAGCACGAGCTCAGTGACGACAACGACGGAGAAGAGCACGTTGTCAGTGACAAGCACGACAGAGTCAAGCACGACCAGTGTGTCAAGCTTCACCGTCACGAGCACGTTGTCGGTCACGAGCACGACAGAGTCGAGAATTGTCTCAACTACCACTGGCACGATCACGATGTCGACGACCAGCACCACAGGGACCGGCACGTCAACGCTCACAAGCAACACGCAGACGAGTACAACGACGCTGACAAGCACTACAGAGACCAGCACGACGGTTACCAGCAGCAGCACAGGCAGCAGCACCAGCGAAGGCAGCAGCACCAGTGGTACCACAATTGGCAGCAGCAGCAGCAGCAGCACCACGCGCAGAAGCTCCAGCGCCACCAGCAGTACCACCGTGAGCAGCACGACTGGGTCGACCAGTAGCACTCGCAGCAGCACGAGCGCAACTCGCAGCACCACTGCGACCAGCACTAGTCGCACCAGTACCGCCACGCGCAGCACTACCAGCGAAAGTAGCAGCACAACGCGCAGCAGCACCAGCGCAACTAGCAGCACCACGCGGACAAGCACGGCGTCTGCGACAACCACCACCGAAACCAGCACGGCAACGCTCACGAGCACCACGGAGACGAGCACAACGACTTTGACGACCATCACAGTGACCAGCACGATATCAGTGACGACTACGACGGAGACGAGCACGATGCCAGCCTCGAGCACGACAGAGTCGAGCACGACCAGTGTGTCGAGCACCACGGGCACGAGCACGACGTCCGTGACAAGCAGCACAGAGACCAGCACAACCACGCTCACGAGCACCACGGAGACGAGCGCAACGACGCTGACGGGCGTCACGGTGAGCAGCACGAGCTCAGTAACGATTACGACGGAGACGAGCACGACGTCAGTGACAAGCACGACAGAAACAAGCACGACCAGTGTGTCAAGCTCCACCGTCACGAGCACGTTGTCGGTCACGAGCACGACAGAGTCGAGAACAAGCAGTGTCTCAAGTACCACCGGCACGAGCACGATGTCGGCGACAAGCACCACACAGACCGGCTCATCAACGCTCACAAGCACCACGAAGACAAGCACAACGACGCTGTCAAGCACCACAGAGACCAGTACAAGTTCAGTGACAGCTTCGACAGAGACGAGCACGACGCCAGCGACAAGCACGACTGAGTCAAGCACGACTACTCTGTCAAGCACCACGGGCACGAGCACGACTGGCAGCAGCAGCACCACGCGCAGCAGCACCAGCGCAGCCAGCAGCACCACTGTTTCCAGCACTACGGGTACCAGCAGCACCACGCGCAGCAGCACGAGCGCAACCAGCAGCACCTCTCTGACCACCGCGACTCGCACCAGTAGCACGACGCGGAGCACCAGCAGCAGCAGCAGCAGCAGCGAAACCAGCAGCAAGACTGTGTCTAGCACGACGGCTACCAGCAGCACCACAAGCAGCAGCACCAGCGCAAGCAGCAGTACCACCGTGAGTAGCACGACTGGGACGACCAGTAGCACTCGTAGCAGCACGAGCGCAACTCGCAGCACCACTGCGACCAGCACTAGTCGCACCAGTACCGCCACGCGCAGCACTACCAGCGAAAGTAGCAGCACAACGCGCAGCAGCACCAGCGCAACTAGCCGCACCACGCGGACCAGCACGGCGTCTGCGACAACCACCACCGAAACCAGCACGGCAACGCTCACGAGCAGCACGGAGACGAGCACAACGACTTTGACGACCATCACAGTGACCAGCACGATATCAGTGACGACTACGACGGAGACGAGCACGATGCCAGCCTCGAGCACGACAGAGTCGAGCACGGCCAGTGTGTCGAGCACCACGGGCACGAGCACGACGTTCTGTGACAAGCACCACAGAGACCAGCACAACCACACTCACGAGCACCACGGAGACGAGCGCAACGACGCTGACGGGCGTCACGGTGAGCAGCACGAGCTCAGTAACGACTACGACGGAGACGAGCACAACGTCAGTGACAAGCACGACAGAAACAAGCACGACCAGTGTGTCAAGCTCCACCGTCACGAGCACGTTGTCGGTCACGAGCACGACAGAGTCGAGAACAAGCAGTGTCTCAAGTACCACCGGCACGAGCACGATGTCGGCGACAAGCACCACACAGACCGGCTCATCAACGCTCACAAGCACCACGAAGACAAGCACAACGACGCTGTCAAGCACCACAGAGACCAGTACAAGTTCAGTGACAGCTTCGACAGAGACGAGCACGACGCCAGCGACAAGCACGACTGAGTCAAGCACGACTACTCTGTCAAGCACCACGGGCACGAGCACGACTGGCAGCAGCAGCACCACGCGCAGCAGCACCAGCGCAGCCAGCAGCACCACTGTTTCCAGCACTACGGGTACCAGCAGCTCCACGCGCAGCAGCACGAGCGCAACCAGCAGCATCTCTCTGACCACAGCGACTCGCACCAGTAGCACCACGCGAAGCACCAGCAGCAGCAGCAGCAGCAGCGAAACCAGCAGCAAGACTGTGTCTAGCACGACGGCTACCAGCAGCACCACAGGCAGCAGCACCAGCGCAAGCAGCAGTACCACCGTGAGTAGCACGACTGGGACGACCAGTAGCACTCGTAGCAGCACGAGCGCAACTCGCAGCACCACTGCGACCAGCACTAGTCGCACCAGTACCGCCACGCGCAGCACTATCAGCGCAACTAGCCGCACCACGCGGACCAGCACGGCGTCTGCGACAACCACCACCGAAACCAGCACGGCAACGCTCACGAGCACCACGGAGACGAGCACAACGACTTTGACGACCATCACAGTGACCAGCACGATATCAGTGACGACTACGACGGAGACGAGCACGATGCCAGCCTCGAGCACGACAGAGTCGAGCACGGCCAGTGTGTCGAGCACCACGGGCACGAGCACGACGTCCGTGACAAGCACCACAGAGACCAGCACAACCACACTCACGAGCACCACGGAGACGAGCGCAACGACGCTGACGGGCGTCACGGTGAGCAGCACGAGCTCAGTAACGACTACGACGGAGACGAGCACGACGTCAGTGACAAGCACAACAGAAACAAGCACGACCAGTGTGTCAAGCTCCACCGTCACGAGCACGTTGTCGGTCACGAGCACGACAGAGTCGAGAACAAGCAGTGTCTCAAGTACCACCGGCACGAGCACGATGTCGGCGACAAGCACCACACAGACCGGCTCATCAACGCTCACAAGCACCACGAAGACAAGCACAACGACGCTGTCAAGCACCACAGAGACCAGTACAAGTTCAGTGACAGCTTCGACAGAGACGAGCACGACGCCAGCGACAAGCACGACTGAGTCAAGCACGACTACTCTGTCAAGCACCACGGGCACGAGCACGACTGGCAGCAGCAGCACCACGCGCAGCAGCACCAGCGCAGCCAGCAGCACCACTGTTTCCAGCACTACGGGTACCAGCAGCTCCACGCGCAGCAGCACGAGCGCAACCAGCAGCATCTCTCTGACCACAGCGACTCGCACCAGTAGCACCACGCGAAGCACCATCAGCAGCAGCAGCAGCGAAACCAGCGGCAAGACTGTGTCTAGCACGACGGCTACCAGCAGCACCACAGGCAGCAGCACCAGCGCAAGCAGCAGTACCACCGTGAGTAGCACGACTGGGTCGACCAGTAGCACTCGTAGCAGCACGAGCGCAACTCGCAGCACCACTGCGACCAGCACCACTCGCACCAGTACCGCCACGCGCAGCACTACCAGCGAAAGTAGCAGCACAACGCGCAGAAGCTCCAGCGCAACTAGCAGCACCACGCGGACCAGCACGGCGTCTGCGACAACCACCACCGAAACCAGCACGGCAACACTTACGAGCACCACGGAGACGAGCACAACGACCTTGACGACCATCACAGTGACTAGCACGATATCAGTGACGACTACGACGGACACGAGCACGATGGCAGCCTCGAGTACGACAGATTCAAGCACGACCATTGTGTCGAGCACCACTGGCACGAGCATGACGTCCGTGAAAAGCACCACAGAGACCAGCACAAGCACGCTCACGAGCACCACGGAGACGAGCGCAACGACGCTGACGGGCGTCACGGTGAGCAGCACGAGCTCAGTAACGACAACGACAGAGACGAGCACGACGTCAGTGACAAGGACGACAGAGTCAAGCACGACCAGTGTCTCAACCACAACCGGCACTGGCATGGCGTCTGTCACGAGCACGGCAGAGTCGAGAACAAGCAGTGTCGCAAGTACCACCGGCACGAGCACGATATCGGCGACAAGCACAACAGAGACTAGCACGTCAACGCTCACAAGCACCACGCAGACAAGCACAACGACGCCGACAAGCACTACAGAGACCAGTGCAAGTTCAGTGACGGCTTCGACAGAGATGAGCACGACGTCAGCGACAAGCACGACTGAGTCAAGCACGACTACTCTGTCAAGCACTACGGGCACGAGCACGACTGGCAGCAGCAGCACCACCACGCGCAGCAGCACCAGCGCAGCCAGCAGCACCACTGCTTCCAGCACTACGGGGACCAGCAGCACCACGCGCAGCAGCACGAGCGCGACCAGCAGCATCTCTCTGACCACCGCGACTCGCACCAGTAGCGCCACTCGGAGCACCAGTAGCAGCAGCAGCGAAGCCAGCAGCAAGACTGTGTCTAGCACGACGGCTATCAGCAGCACCACAGGCAGCAGCACCAGCGCAAGCAGCAGTACCACCGTGAGCGGCACGACTGGGTGGGGCAGTAGCACTCGCAGCAGCACGAGCGCAACTAGCAGCACCACGTGGACCAGCACGGCGTCTGCGACAACCACCACCGAAACCAGCACGGCAACGCTCACGAGCACCACGGAGACGAGCACAACGACCTTGACGACCATCACAGTGACCAGCACGATATCAGTGACGACTACGACGGAGACGAGCACAATGTCAGCCTCGAGCACGACAGAGTCAAGCACGTCCAGTGTGTCGAGCACCACTGGCACGAGCATGACGTCCGTGACAAGCACCACAGAGACCAGCACAACCACGCTCACGAGCACCACGGAGACGAGCACAACGACGCTGACGGGCGTCACAGTGAGCACCACGAGCTCAGTAACGACTACGACGGAGACGAGCATGACGCCAGTGACAAGCACGACAGAGTCAAGCACGACCAGTATCTCAACCACAACCGGGACTGGCATGGGTTCGGTCACGAGCACGACAGAGTCAAGAACAACCAGTGTCACAAGGACCACCAGCACGATCACGATGTCGGCGACAAGCACCACAGAGACAGGCCCGTCAACGTTCACAAGCACAACAACGTTGACAAGCAGTACAGAGACCAGTACAAGTTCAGTGACAGCTTCGACAGAGACGAGCACGACGTCAGCGACAAGAACGACTGAGTCAAGCACGACTACTCTGTCAAGCACCACGGGCACGAGCACGACTGGCAGCAGCAGCAGCACCACCACGCTCTGCAGCACCAGCGCAACCAGCAGCACCATTGTTTCCAGCACTACGGCTACCAGCAGCACCACGCGCAGCAGCACGAGCGCAACCAGCAGCATCTCTCTGACCACGGCGACTCGCACCAGTAGCACCACGCGGAGTACCAGCGGCAGCAGCAACGAAACCAGTAGCAAGACTGTGTCCAGCACGGCGGCTACCAGCAGCACCACAGGCAGCAGCAACACCTTGAGCAGCACGATTGGGTGGAGCAGTAGCACTCGCAGCAGCACCAGTGCAACTCGCATAACCACGCTCACAAGCACCACGCAGACGAGTACAACGACGCTGACAAGCACTACAGAGACCAGCACGACGGTTACCAGCAGCACCAGTGGTACTACAACGACTGCCAGCAGCAGCAGCACCACGCGCAGCAGCTCCAGCGCCACCAGCAGTAGCATCGTGAGCAGCACGACTGGGTCGAGCATTAGCACTCGCAGCAGCATGAGCGCAACCAGCAGCACCACTACGACCAGCACTACTCGCATCAGCACCGCCACTCGCAGCACTACCAGCGAAAGTAGCAGCACAACGCGCAGCAGCACGAGCGCAAGCAGCAGTACCACCGTGAGCGGCACGACGTCTGCGACAACCACCACCGAGACCAGCACGACAACACTCACGAGCACCACGGAGACGAGCACAACGACCTTGACAACCATCACAGTGACCAGCACGATATCAGTGACGACTACGACGGACACTAGCACGATGCTAGCCTCGAGCGCGACAGAGTCAAGCACGTCCAGTGTATCGAGCACCACTGGCACGAGCATGATGACGGTGACAAGCAACACAGAGACCAGCACAACCACGCTCACGAGCACCACGGAGACGAGCACAACGACGCTGACGAGCGTCACAGTGAGCAGCACGAGCTCAGTAGCGACTACGACGGAGACGAGCACGGCGTCAGTGACAAGCACGACAGAATTCAGCACGAACAGTGTCTCAACCACAACCAGCACTCGCATGGCGTCGGTCGCGAGCACGACAGAGTCGAGAACAAGCAGAGTCGCAAGTACCACCGGCACGAGCACGATGTCGGCGACAAGCCCCACAGAGACCGGCCCGTCAATGCTCACAAGCACCACGAAGACAAGCACAACGACGCTGACAAGCACTACAGAGACCAGTACAAATTCAGTGACAGCTTCGACAGAGACGAGCACGACGTCAGCGACAAGCACGACTGAGTCAAGCACGACTACTCTGCCAAGCACACGCACCACGGGCACGAGCACGACTGGCAGCAGCAGCACAACGCGCACCAGCACCAGCGCAACCAGCAGCACCACTGTTTCAAGCACTACGGGGACCAGCAGCACCACGCGCAGCAGCACCAGCGCCACCAGCAGTACCACCGTGAGCAGCACGACTGGGTCGAGCAGCAGCACTCGCAGCAGCACGAGCGCAACCAGCAGCACCACTGCGACCAGCACTACTCGCACCAGCACCGCCACTCGCAGCCCTACCAGCGAGAGTAGCAGCACAACGCGCAGCAGCTCCAGCGCAACTAGCAGCACCACGCGGACCAGCACGACTTCTGCGACAACCACCACCGACACCAGCACGGCAACACTCACGAGCACCACGGAGACGAGCACAACGACCTTGACGACCATCACAGTGACCAGCACGAAATCAGTGACGTCTACGACGGACACGAGCACGATGCCAGCCTCGAGCGCGACAGAGTCAAGCAAGACCAGCGTATCGAGCACCACTGGCACGAGCACGATGTCCGTGACAAGCAACACAGAGACCAGCACAACCACGCTCACGAGCACCACGGAGACGAGCACAACGACGCTGACGAGCGTCACAGTGAGCAGCACGAGCTCCGTAACGACTGCGACGGAGACGAGCACGACGTCAGTGACAAGCACGACAGGGTTCAGCATGACCAGTGTCTCAACCACAACGGGCACTGGCACGGCGCCGGTCAAGAGCACGACAGAGTCGAGAACAAGCAGTGTCGCAAGGACCACCGGCACGAGCACGATGTCGGCGACAAGCACCACAGAGACCAGCACGTCAACGCTCACAAGCACCACGCAGACGAGCACAACGACGCTGACAAGCACAACAGAGACCAGTACAAGTTCAGTGACAGCTTCGACAGAGACGAGCACGACGTCAGCGACAAGCACGACTGAGTCAAGCACGACTACCCTGTCAAGCACAAGCACCACGGGCACGAGCACGACTGGCAGCAGCAGCAGCACAACGCGCACCAGCACCAGCGCAATCAGCAGCACCACTGTTTCCAGCACTACGGGGACCAGCAGCACCACAGGCAGCAGCACCAGCGCAAGCAGCAGTACCACCGTGAGCAGCACGACTGGGTCGAGCAGTAGCACTCGCCGAACTCGCAGCAGCACGAGCGCAACCAGCAGCACCACTGCGACCAGCACTACTCGCACCAGCACCGCCACTCGCAGCACTACCAGCGAGAGTAGCAGCACAACGCGCAGAAGCTCCAGCGCAACTAGCAGCACCTCGCGGATCAGCACGACGTCTGCGACAACCACCGCCGAGACCAGCACGACAACACTCACGAGCACCACGGAGACGAGCACAACGACCTTGACGACCATCACAGTGACCAGCACGATATCAGTGACGACTACGACGGACACGAGCACGATGGCAGCCTCGAGCACGACAGAGTCAAGCAAGACCAGCGTATCGAGCACCACTGGCACGAGCACGATGTCCGTGACAAGCAACACAGAGACCAGCACAACCACGCTCACGAGCACCACGGAGACGAGCACAACGACGCTGACGAGCGTCACAGTGAGCAGCACGAGCTCCGTAACGACTGCGACGGAGACGACCACGACGTCAGTGACAAGCACGACAGGGTTCAGCATGACCAGTGTCTCAACCACAACTGGCACTGGCACGGCGCCGGTCAAGAGCACGACAGAGTCGAGAACAAGCAGTGTCGCAAGGACCACCGGCACGAGCACGATGTCGGCGACAAGCACCACAGAGACCAGCACGTCAACGCTCACAAGCACCACGCAGACGAGCACAACGACGCTGACAAGCACTACAGAGACCAGTACAAGTTCAGTGACAGCTTCGACAGAGACGAGCACGACGTCAGCGACAAGCACCACTGAGTCAAGCACGACTACTCTGTCAAGCACAAGCACCACGGGCACGAGCACGACTGGCAGCAGCAGCAGCACAACGCGCACCAGCACCAGCGCAATCAGCAGCACCACTGTTTCCAGCACTACGGGGACCAGCAGCACCACAGGCAGCAGCACCAGCGCAAGCAGCAGTACCACCGTGAGCAGCACGACTGGGTCGAGCAGCAGCACTCGCAGCAGCACGAGCGCAACCAACAGCACCACTGCGACCAGCACTACTCGCACCAGCACCGCCACTCGCAGCACTACCAGCGAAAGTAGCAGCACAACGCGCAGAAGCTCCAGCGCAACTAGCAGCACCACGCGGATCAGCACGACGTCTGCGACAACCACCGCCGAGACCAGCACGACAACACTCACGAGCACCACGGAGACGGGCACAACGACCCTGGTGACCATCACAGTGACCAGCACGATATCAGTGACGATTACGACGGACAGGATTACGATGCCAGCCTCGAGCGCGACAGAGTCAAGCACGACCAGTGTATCGAGCACCGCTGGCACGAGCACGATGTCCGTGACAAGCAACACAGAGACCAGCACAACCACGCTCACGAGCACCACGGAGACGAGCACAACGACGCTGACGAGCGTCACAGTGAGCAGCACGAGCTCCGTAACGACTACGACGGAGACGACCACGACGTCAGTGACAAGCACGACAGGGTTCAGCGCGACTACCGTCTCAACAACCGCCGGCACTCGCATGGCGTCGGTCACAAGCACGACAGAGTCGAGAACAAGCAGTGTCTCAAGTACTACCGGCACGATCACGATGTCGGCGACAAGCACCACAGAGACGAGCACGTCAATGCTAACAAGCACCACGCAGACAAGCACAACGACGCTGACAAGCACTACAGAGACCGGTACAACTTCAGTGACAGCTTCGACAGAGACGAGCACGACGTCAGCGACAAGCACGACTGAGTCAAGCACGACTACCCTGTCAAGCAGAAGCACCACGGGCACGAGCACGACTGGCAGCAGCAGCACCACGCGCAGCAGCACCAGCGCAACCAGCAGCATCAGTGGTACTACAATGACTGGCACCAGCAGCACCACGCGCAGCAGCTCCAGCGCCACCAGCAGTATCACCGTGAGCAGCACGACTGGGTCGAGCAGAGGCACTCGCAGCAGCACGAGCGCAACCAGCAGCACCACTGCGACCAGCACTACTCGCACCAGCACCGCAACGGGCAGCACTACCAGCGAAAGTAGCAGCACAACGCGCAGCAGCACCAGCGCAACTAGCAGCACCACGCAAACCAGCACGACGTCTGCGACAACCACCGCCGAGACCAGCACGACAACACTCACGAGCACCACGGGGACGAGCACAACGACCTTGGTGACCACCACAGTGACCAGCACGATATCAGTGACGACTACGACGGACACGAGCCCGATATCAGCGTCAAGCACGACAGAGTCAAGCACGACCAGTTTATCGAGCACCACTGGCACGAGCACGATGTCCGTGACAAGCACCACAGAGACCAGCACAACCACGCTCACGAGCACCACGGAGACGAGCACAAGGACGCTGACGAGTGTCACAGTGAGCAGCACGAGCTCCGTAACGACTACGACGGAGACGAGCTCGACGTCAGCGACAAGCACGACAGAGTCAAGCATGACCAGTGTGTCAAGCTCCACTGGAACGAGCACGGCGCCAGACACAAACACGACAGAGACGAGTATTATTAGGGCTTCAAGTACCACCGTCACAAGCACGACGTCGGCGACAAGCATCACAGAGACCAGCACGACACCGCTCACGAGCACCACGCAGACGAGTATCGCGACGCTGATAAGCACTACAAAGACCAGCACGAGTTCAGCGTCGACGACGACAGACAAGAGCACGACGTCGGCGACAAGCAAGACAAAGACAAGCACGATTACCCTGTCAAGCACCACGGGCACAAGCACGACCAGCACCAGCAGCACTACGCGCAGTAGCACCAGCGCAACCAGCAGCACCACTGTTTCCAGCACGACGGGGACCAGCAGTACCACGCGCAGCAGCACGAGCACAACCAGCAACGCCTCTCTGACCAGCGCGACTCGCACCAGTAGTACCACGCGGAACAGCAGCAGCGAATCCAGCAGCAAGATTGTGTCCAGCACGACGGTGACCAGCAGCACCACGGGCAGTAGCAGCAGCGCAAGTAGCAGCGCCAGTGGCATTGCAGCGACGGGCACCAGCAGCACCACCCTCAGCAGCTCCAGCACGACCAGCAGCAGCACCGTAAGCAGTGCAACGGGGACGAGCAGTAGCTCTCGCAGCAGCACCAGCGCAACCAGCAGCACCACGGGGACCAGCACTACTCGCACCAGCACCGCCACTCGCAGTAGTACCAGCACGACCAGCAGCGCAACACGCAGCAGCACCAGCGCCACGAGAGTGACCATGCAGACAAGCACAATGTCGGCGACGAGCACCACAGAGACCAGCACAACCACGCTTTCGAGCACCACGGAGACGAGTACAACATCTCTGGCAACCACAATAAAGACTACCACGAATTCAGCGACGACTACGACGGGCACCAGAACGTCGTCAGTGACAGGCACGAGCAAGCCTAGCTCGACCATTGAGGCAAGCACCACGCGCACGAGCACGACGTCAGTGACAAGCAAGACAGAGCCGAGCACGACCAGTGTGCCAAGCATCACTGGCACGAGTACGTCCTTGAAGACTAGCACCACAGAGACCAGCACAAGCTCAGCGACGACTACGACGGAAACGAGCACTATGCCAGTCACGAGCAACACGGAGTCGAGCACGACCAGTGTGTCAAGCATCGTTGGCACGAGCACGGCGTCGGCGACAGGCATAACAGAGACCAGCGCGAGCTCGGCGGCGACTACAACGGACACGAGCACGACGTCAGTGACGAGCCAGATAGAGCCGATCACCACCAGTGTGTCAAGCATCACTGGCACAAGGAAGTCCGCCACCAGAAGCACCACAAGCAGCAGCCCCGGCGCAACCAGCAGCACCATTGTGTCCAGCACGGCTCACACTAGCAGAACCACGCGCAGCAGCACTACGCAGACGAGCACGACATCGGTGACGAGCACCACAGAGCCCATCACGACAACACTCACGAGCACCGCGGATCAAAGCTCAACGACGCTGACGAGCAGCACAGAAGTTGGCACGAGTACAGCGACGACAAGGGCGCCGTACACGAGCACGACGTCAGCGGCCAGCGATGCATTATCGAGCACGACCCGTGCGTCGAGCACCAACGACACGAGCACGTCGCCAGTGACAAGAATTACAGAGACCAGCCCGATAGCGTTCACGAGCACCACGGATGCGACCACCACGACGTTGACGACCAGCACAGAGACCAGCACAACTTCAACTGCGACTACGACGGACGCGATCACGACGTCAGTGACAAGCACGACAGAGTCAAGCACGACTACTCTGTCAAGCACCACTGGCACGAGCACGACTGTGTCCGGCATTACCGTGCGCAGCATCAGCAGCGAAACCACAGAGACCAGCACGGCCACACTCACGAGCACCACGGAGACCAGTACAACGACGCTCACAATCACCTCGGACACCAGCCTGAGATCAGGGATGACTACGACGGACACGAGCACGACATCAATGACACGCAAGATAGAGGCGAGCACGACAAGAGTGCCAAGTAGCAGCGGCACGAGTACGCCGATGGTGGCGAGCATCACAGAGACGAGCACGCCGACGCCCACGAACACCATGCAGGCGAGCACCTCGACGCCGACGAGCAGCACAGGCACCAGCACGAGTCCAACGACGACTACGACGGACACGAGCAAGATGCCAGCGACGAGCCCGACAGGGTCGAGCACGACCACGACGGATGCCATCAGCGTAACGGTGAGCAGCATGCCGGGAAACGGCACCACGATTTTGACAGCTACCAGCGAGACGAGTGCTGTGTCGAGCACCATTCTGTTGGGCAGCACGACGGCTACCGGCAGCGCGACGAACAGCAGCACGACCCTGACATTCACCATTCAGGCGAGCAGTGTTTCGAGCACCACGTCTCCAAGCAGCACAACGCACAACAACATCACGACCCTGGAATCCATGACGCAGACTAGCAGTGTGCCGAGAACCACGTCTCTGAGCAGAACGACCAGCACCAGCAGCATTACGGGTGGCAGTAGCACGATTCAGACATCCACCAGTGAGACGACCAGGGTTTCGAGCACCATTTCGTTGATCAGCACGACGGGTACCAGCAGCACGACATGGAGCAGCACCGCCATTCCAGCAGACACAAGTGAGACGAGCAGTGTTTCCAGCGCTATGTTGATGAGCAGCTCGACGGGCACCAGCAGTTTGACATCGAGCAGAATGACTTGGAACCGCACCACGACTCTGACGTCCACGATGCGGACGAGCAGTGTGGCGACCACCACATTGTTGAGCAACACAGCGGGGGGTAGCACCGAGACGTGGCTCAGCACGACGGAGAGCACGACAAGCGTACCACATGCAAGTGCGGCGAGCAGTGTGTCGAGCACCGCGTCGTTGAGCGCTACGACGGGTACCAGCGGCCTGGCGTTGAGCGGCACGATGTCCAGCAGCACGATTCGGACATCCACCAGTCGGTCGAACAGCGTTACAAGCGCCACGTCTACGGGCAGTACCAGCACAAGCAGCAGTACCAGCGCAACCACCAGTGCAAGGGGTACAATCAGCAGCACGCGCACCATCACCACCGCAACAACTATCACCACTGTCACAATGTCTACTGTCACCAATACCATCACCAGCTCTAGTGTGACCAGTACCAGCGCGACCAGCACCAGCGCGACCAGCACCAGCGCGACCAGCACCAGCGCGACCAGCACCAGCGCGACCAGCACCAGTACCACCCAGACGAGCACCACCACGCCGCTTTACGTTGTGGCGAGTTCCGTCCGACTCGAAAGTTCTGGCACACAGGAAGAAGTACTTGATGCGATGACGTCCTGCCTAATTATTGTGTATGGCGTCGCTGAGGATCAGGTGTCCGTAGATGTCGTCGGTGCCGCTTCCGCACCCTCGGCCCGGAGTTTCTCCCACTCGTGGGCCGTCGGGTTCGAGATATATGCGCCTCTGGAGAGCGCCACGGCAATATATGATTCGACATTGCGTTTTGCCAACGATTCCGCAAATTTCAGCGGAACTTTGCAGGGGCAGTTCCATAGCTTAAACATCACGGCGTCTTCATTGGAGATCGCAGCTCCAGAAATAAAGATCGTCACTGCTACCATGACGACTGTAACCGTCACCTTGACTAGCACAACGACGACCAGCGCCACCAGCGCGACGAGTGTAACCAGCACCAGTGCGACCAGCACCACCACTTGGACTAGAACAGCGACCACAACCACCGCGACTAGTACGGCAACGTCCAGTACCACAATTAGCCGCACTATTACCGTGTCCACCCACACCAGGACCAGCATAAGTACAACCAGCATTAGTGCGACTAGTACCAGTGAGACAGATGCGCGCTCCAGGACCACAAACACCGTCACCAGGAGCAGCACCACAGGGAGCAGCGCCAGCTCTACCAACACCAAAACTACTGGGACTACCACTGCAGCCAGAACTACTCTGACGAGTACCACAACGTCCGGCGCAACAACTATCACCACAGGTACCATGTCCACAGGCACAAAGACTAGTATCAGTGTAACTGGCACCAGTGCGACCAGTCGGAGCGAGATCAGTTCTAGCACGAGATCCAGCATTGCTAGTACCACGGGAACCAGCAGCAGCAGTACCGGGCTCACCAATAGGGTGACCAGCAGCACCACAAGAAGTGAAACACTGACCAGGAGCAGCATTGGGGCCAGCAAACCGGTTAGCACCACTGGAAGCAGCACCAGCGCGACAAGTGCGACCAGCACGTCGGTGACCGGCACGAGTGAAAGCAGCAGCACGAGTAAAAGTAGCAGAACGAGTGTCTCCAGCACGACATGGACCAGCAGTCTCATGCACGACAGCTCCAGTGAGACCAGCAAGACCACTGTGACTCTCTCGTCTGTGAGCAGTACGAGTCGCAGCACTGTTGAGCCATATTTTCAGCTCAGCGGGTCAATTGTTTTCTCGCTGATTGGCCTGGACGCGGTCTGGAATGATCCAGAGGTGGCAGAGCAGGTCCTGAACTCGGTCGGCCTCACCATCGCCCAGGTCGTGGGCATGCCAGTGAGCTATGTCACCGTGTGGTTTGCGCAGTCCAGGAGGCTCCCGGCCACCGCGCGCGAGCTCAGCGGGGAGACGGTTGAGGCTCGAAATCGACCAAACAATGCGCACAAACAAATCAGAGGTCCGCGCGGATTTCTTCCTTGCATCGCTCGGACGTGTGCATTTTTCTTTCGGCGAGGACCATCGAGGAGCATCCTTGATCATGAGGCGAAAAAACCACGCACGAAACCGAACAAAGCACAGGGAATGGACGTCCGAGCGATGGCCAGTGTGAACAAAAAATCAGAGGTCCGCGCGGATTTCTTGGATCGGAGCCGGACACCCTTCCGTGGCACGCCAAGCTCGACAGGGGCGGCGCCAGCGGTGCCTCCAGGGGGGCCCCAGCGCCGATCCACGAAGCCTCCGAAGTAGCGTGCTCGCTAGGCCGCCCTCTGCTCCTCAAGAGACGCACACGGGCACCGGAGCCATCCCCCGTCCCCCTGGGCGCCCCCTGGCGCCTCCAGCCAGCCTGGCATCGCTCGGACGTGTGCATCTTTCCTTCGGCGAGGGCCATCGAGGAGCATCCTTGACCATGTGGCGAAAAAGCCGCGCACGAAGCCGACAGACACACGGGGAACGGACGTCCGAGCAATGGACGTCCGAGCGATGGCAAGCGCCAGGGGTGGTGGTGGGCTAAGCCGGCTATCTAAGCGTCTCGAACATCCGGTGGCGGACGCGAAAAGTGCGAAAAGTGGGACAGTGCGAAAAATACGAAAAGTGCGAAAAGCAGAAAAGCAAAAAAGTGCGAAAAGTGTCGAACCCCAGTGGT